GCGAGGCCATCGTCCACGAGCCCCCCACAATGGCGCCATGTGTGTCCCACAATGTTGACTCCCTCCTGTCCCGACGATGAACAAGACCCAGATCTGACCAGGCGCCGAGCACCAACCACGCTATGAGGCGCTGCCCTCTACCTGGCATCCTCCTCTACCCCAACATCCCTCGGTGGTCTTCTCCCCACCTCTCTTTCTTTTTATATGTATTTGTTATAGGAATGTTGCCAATTAATAACATTTGTGTGAGAACATATGTCATGCATTTCTTCAATCCTCATATTTCTTTTGTATGTTTTTCTTCAACTTATTTTGTTTACGTAGAAGGTGTGTACAATATGTAAACATTATGTAAGATTACTGATGTCACTGTTTGATGTGCACCATTGTTAGATGGGGACACTTCATCAATGAGTATATACAAGCCCGTCAATTTTAGTTTGTTTGATGTTTACCATTGTTAGATAGGGACAATTCATCCATTTTATCACTGTTTGATGTTTCCCTTTACTTTTTTGAGCAACAAACATTCAGGAACTAACAACAATAGCATGTTTGCATCAACAGAGCATGTCATGCTGCACCACGCACCTGTACAATGCTATCACTGGCCAAACATTCATTGATTTCTCAAGCAAGAGAATGCCGTACGTATAATTTTGACTTGCGCAAAGGGAAGTCAAAGTCGATCATTGGGGGGCAAACATTGTACTTGTGCAACTTGATAAGGACGTACGATCAAAATGAAAATCTTTATTACCCGTCAGAATATTTGTACCCAAGGAGGAAGGGTATGGAGGTTGGTCAAGCACCTGCAGCGATTTTTAGATGAAGCTGGTTGTCAACAACCTGACCGAGGAGCCATAGGAGTAGCACCAGACATATATGTGTACTTTTCCCTAGATGTTGCGATATGCTTGTATGGGTTTTTGTTATAACTTTCTTCTTATGTAACCCCAGTTGGAAATATAACTGTCGTGCTACCTGCCTTCAGGGAAAATATGAATTAATTAGAGGAAAAAGCTGTCAGTGCAGTATTTCTTTTAATACTCTCAACATTTACTAGTGACGTGGTCAAAAGTGTCATGTTAGTATAGTATATCCTCTACAACACTAAGCTCCCTAGTTTTAAAAAGTTCACATTCAATTGAGGTCTCCAACTAGAATTGGGTCACCCGATTTTGATCGGGTCAACAATTTCTCAAAACTCTCTTACAATTCTTTTATACTATACACTACGTTTCCTAATTTTCAAGGCCTCACAATTAATTGAGGTATTTTAATTTATAATCGGGTCAACATATTTTGACCGGGTCAACATTTTTTCAAGTTATTTCATTCTATGCTTTTTATTCACTATGTTTCGTGATTTTGAAGTTCTTTCATTTAATTGAGATATTCAATTTTCAATTTGGTTTACGATTTTAACTGGTCCAACGATTTTTCAAATCAATCAACAGCAACCTGTCTATAGAAACATATCAGTCCCGTGCATCCTCCCACCATCTAAAAAAAGAAGCGCCGTCATGTGATATTGTAGCACCAATAACCACTGACAAAGAAATTTTCCCATGTATATATATAGATTGGTTAGCAGATAGCACAGAATCACAATGAAATGTCGACCAAATAACCGCATTATGAATAAAAATAAAACACACTCTATCATCTCCCCAGTCGGCAAAACTAAATATTCCATGGGTCAAAATATAAGGGGTATTGGTTTTGTAGAAAGTCAAATTTCTTTAACTTTGAGTCTTTGACCAAGTTCAGAGCAAAAAAATCGACATCCACAATATTAGACAAAAAAAGCATGGAAATTCATTTCATGATGAATTTAAAAATACCAATTTGATATTATGGATTTTGATATATTTCGTTACAAATTTGATCAAACTTAAAAGGTTTGACTTTTTAAAAAAAGTAATACATCTTATATTTTGAAACAGAGTGATTATTTTTTGACGAAACCAACAACACCAACGGTGTAACAAAGCGCGCCCAATTCTTCTAGTAATTTACTAATGGTGAGTATGGGTGGGCAATGCCACTAACCCGGAACGTATCTCTGGCGTTTAGTTCGCAACGCCACTAGCTAGTTATTTATTTATTAGTAACCTTTGGGCCCAACACCACCAACGTTATTCTACTACACCTTACCATCGGCGGCATACTAGGGGTGCGGCAATTGACGCTATTGGTGACACATTACCACTGGCGTCATACTAGCGGCGTCGGCCTACAAAGCCACTAATTGTGTTTTACGAACGCCGCTAGTAGGTATTTCTACACTAGTGAAACCATATCCTTATATGTTTTATAACACCTATTTTCCTTCTCTATGCTATATATGGGTCATTTCAGAACGTGCCGGGGCGCAATAACTATGACCGTGTTATTTTTTCCTTTATTCTTTTATTATTTTTATTTCTAGATTCCTATTCTCTTTTACTCATCTTCACTTTTGTTTTTCATCCTTTATATTTTCTGTTTAGTTTTCTTGTTATTATTTTCCTAGGTAAATAATGAGTATTTGTATGAGATACATGAGCACTTGTTTGTGAACACGTGCCAAAGATATATGAACATTTCCTTTACATGTAAGAATCCTTCCGAAATACTCTTATGGAACTACATGAGCATTTATTTTTAAATACAAGAGCATTTATGAAAATATACATGCCCAATCTGTCATAAAGGCAAACATTTATTTTATTTTGATACATGCGAACATATTTCGTCGCACATGAACATTTCTTTTCACACACATGAACTTTAAAAAAATTGCTAGACAATTTAATAAGTAGATGAAAAATTGTTTTCGTGGACATGGACATATTTTACAATGCCTTAAAAATTTACTCATTTACTGAAACGATTATATGAACATTCTATAATTTTTCTCTAATTTTTAGATTTTTCTTTGTTTATCAAGAATAAAAATGTGTAGAAGGCCAAAAATAGTGCGCGTCGGCCCGCAGGCATTCCGGGTGCGGAGAGCCCATGTGAGCCCATATCTTCCTCCGCTCCGCTGGAAATTACAGAGACAAGGGAGACTAGTACTAGGGTTTACACTCTGCTCTCTTCCTCCTCCGCTGCTCCGAACGAGGTCGAGCGGCGGCGGCTACTGTCTCCAGGCCGGCCGTGCTCAAGGAAGGTGCCGCCGTTGTTTTTCGCTTCTCCACTCCTGAGAGACCCCTCCCTCCCTGTTCCTTCCTTCCGTTGGCTCCCCGATTCGACATGCAGACGCTTTTTTTCTTTACTTTTCTGATTCGCTTTCTTGTTCTTGATTGATAGGGGAAACCAAACCGGTAGTATATATCATCCATAAATAAACTTAGTTGATGTTGGAAAGCCATTCTCCTAGGTACTAGTAGAAAGTAAGCTTTTTGCCTAGGGTTGCAGCAAATAGTAAGAGTAGTATTCTCTAGTTGAACAGATATTAGATTGGCTCTGTGAACTCAACTCGTCGGCTGTGGCTGTTAAATGATTGATTGATTTCCCTACTTTCTTTCTTGCCCAACCAAGACCTACAAGTACACTACTAACTAATTGGCATATATGCTCTGCTTTTCATGTTCAGATTCAGCAAATAGTGGTAATTCTGCTTGCAAAATTGTTTGCGTCAATTCTAGCTTATTATTCAGGCTCTTCTACTTAATCATGGTGGTTGCTAGTTTACCTTTATGATGTGGCCCATCTGCAGTGTCATTTTTTCTTCCTAACATAACAATCTAGAGACAGATAAGGTGCTAGCTAGCTACTTCAATAAATCTCCATGCCTATGAACAACACACAGTTAAGTTTTGGACAGATACAGCAGAAAGTGCTCGAAAGTTCATTAGTGTTGTAAAGCCATTCTCCTAGGTAGTACTAGTAGAAAGAAAGTAAGCTTTTTTCCTAGGGTTGCAGCAAATACTACTGTAGTATTCTCTAGTTGAACGGACAGATTGGCCCTGTGAACTCAGCTCATCGGCTGTGGGAAAATGATTGATTTCCCTGTGAACTCAGCTACTAGTACTAACTAATTTGTATATATCCTCTGGTTTTCTTGTTATTAATTAGCTATGTACCTCCAAATAAGTTGTTGGTTCAGATTCTGCAGGTTTCTTTGTAGCGTCATTGTTTGTTTCTAACCATCTAGAGACAGATAAGGTGCTAGCTACTTCAATAAATCCCCATGCATATGAACAACACACAAGTTTTGGACGGATACAGAAAATGCTCAAACTTAATCAGTATATTCTTCATAATGAGTGTCTGCCGTTGGTGTGATCTCCGTCTATCTTCACATGCATGCATTACTCTGATATATCATAAGTTTGAGTCCAGCTCTTTCGGTTGTTTTCTCAACCTTGATATATACTACCTGATGATTGGTACAGCTGAATTTGTTCTGTTCAATGGAGGACCTACCGGAAGCTCTGGTGACATAGATTCTCAACAGGATCACCACGACGAGTGATCTGAATTCTCTTTCCCTTGTGTCAAAGCAGCTCTACAAGATAGAGGGGAATCAAAGGGGTGCTATCCGTGTTGGTTCCGGTCTTTGCACCGCTACAAAAGCCCTGACATCGTTCTGTGCCCGGTTCCCAAATCTACGGAAAGTGGAAATCGATTACTCTGGTTGGACACCTGAACATGGAAATCAGTTGGACAACGAAGGCCTTTCTGTGTTTTCATCTCACTGTTCCTCGCTGATTGACCTCACCTTAAGCTTCTGCTCATTCATCGATGACTCTGGGCTTGCTTGTTTAGCTTATTGCAAGACATTGGTGTCTCTCAGGCTCAACTCCGCACCAAAAATAACGTCAGTTGGGCTTTTCTCGGTTGCAGTTGGCTGCACAAATCTTTCTGCTCTCCACCTTACTGATTGCAATGAAATCGACAATGTAGAGTGGCTGGAATACCTTGGTAGGAATGGATCGTTGGAAGAGCTTGTAGTGAAGAATTGCAAAGGAATCAATCATCATGACTTCCTAAAGTTTGGTCCAGGATGGATGAAGCTCCAAAAGTTTGAGTTTGAGAGGAAAAGAGGAAGATATGATAGTCTTATAGCCATAGGTGGTGAGGTCTATGACTCCTCGTACGATGCTCACAACATGGATATATATGATTTCTGCTGTGAGAGTTTGATGGATCTAAGGTTGGCGCATATTGAAACTTGGCCAGAAGTAGGACTTCGTGTTGTCCTAGGGAAGTGTAAAGCATTGGAGAAGCTTTGCCTTGAGTATGTTCGTGCCTTAAATGACAATGACATGATTGCATTATCTCGGAGCTGCAGCAACCTTAAAAGCATCACACTTTGGCTTAAGCTGGAGCGCTACTCGAGTGATGTCAGCTATTGTGAAAGCAGGATGTCATTTACTGATAACAGCCTTTACGCTCTAGCCCTAAACTGTCGTAAGCTTCAGATGGTAGACCTCAGGTTTACAGGATGTTCCCGTGACTGGCCATCAGAAATAGGGTTCACACAGCAGGGTTTTTTGGTGCTCATTCAGTCCTGCCCGATTCGTGTTCTCGTGCTCAACAACGCCAACTTCTTTGATGACAGGGGGATGAAGGCCCTCTCATCCTCACCACATCTGGAGACACTCGAGCTTATATTGTGTCATGCGGTAAATGATGTTGGGATGCACTTCATTGTGCACACCCCATGCTTGAGTAGTCTCACACTTCGGGCGTGTCATAAGGTGACTGATGTAGGAGTGGCTGAACTGGGACGTGCACATAAGTTAGAGTCTTTGGTCATTGAGAATTGTGGTAGGGTCTCTTTGCAAGCTGCACAGGGTGTTGCCAAGTCAGTTTACTACTCCAGCAAATGTTCAGATGCCCTGAAGAAGAAACTTGGTTTTTCAGTATGAATTTGCTGCTGAAATCATTATTAAGTTTTCGATTGTGCACCATTGGACAAGGGTGGGCATCATCTGACCAGATTTACTGTTCTGAACTTTTTGTTGCCTTATTACCTTTACTGCAATTTATGAATGATGAATTCTGGACGGTAACTGATTATTGAAACTTTAATAGTAGGCACCACTTGTGTATTACTATCAACCGTAATTCTGGTTGCTTAGTTTCTACTCTCTATAGCCGCTTCGAAACCGTCATAAGTATGCCCCAAGATTCCCCATCTTTGCTGTGGAAGCACTATATGACCGTTTGGTGTTATTTGTATTACTTAAGCTGTTAAGCAAATGTCATGGACCCTTTTTTATTATGGAAGTGATTTTGAGCACATACATATCTGCCTGCAATGTTCCCGTGGCAATTTTTGTATGGATCTTTGTAGTAATAATATTATGTCCAAGTTTCGATGGACATTTACGAAGGCGGCATGCTTGTTTTGTTGATATCAACTCTACTGAAGGATATCTTTGATTGCTTCTCAAAAGTATAGTGCTAGTTACTAGTAGCACTATAATTGTAGATGTTTAGATTCTAAAATGGCCTGAAGTTGAGGAACAAGTGAAACTTGAGCGACTAGTCAAGGCATATAACATAGCCGTCACGTCATGTTTTTGCTCTGGACATCCAGCACTCAGAAACATTTTCTTCTTACCTTTTTTAGGTCGTCGCATCTCTTTTTACCTATCAAGAGCATATGAAAATAGCATGAATTAAGACACCACTTGAGGGATGAGATACTGAGATTCATGTGTTTGCTTGGTACAAAGATCCTGAAATTGCAAATGTAACACACCGCTCAAAGGGTTCTGATTTTCTGAATCCTTTTATTTTAGTAACAAGACAGTTCGTTGCATCAGTTCAGCTCGTAGGAATTGCGTTTGCAAACTTCGCTTTGCTTTGCTGGCTATGTAATTTGTGTTGCACTTTATACTTGAGCTAAAATGAAACATGCGCCTTTCCCTTGCTAAAAAAAGGGAGAATGATTTATTTATTTACATTAGCTCCTGCACGCCCTGATCGTGGAATATTTACTAGTACAAAACAAACAATGGGAAGACACTCTGGAGCGAAACGACGGCCGAGCCGATGAGCAGGTTGAAAGAGAGGAAGCAAGAAGTTAATGCCTTGTCATGTTTGGGTTTTTTCGTAGCAACGCACAAATAGAGGAAGCAAGAGGTTGCAACTTTTCTTCAGCTGTTTGTGTGGCCAAGATGCTGCTTGCTTCTAGATGCCTTGAATTCCACAAGATGCAGCCAAACACACAAATTCCATCATGGCTAGCCTTACTGAACTAAAGAACAACTACACTGTTCACTAGTTGTTTAAGTAAGAACCCGGGAGGTTCATTAGTCCAACTATCGTCACATTTGTTACAAAAACTGAATTTCGCTAGCTCATGAGATACAGAGTTTGCATTACTGTCTAGGGAAAATTTCTCAGGAGAAAACCAATCTGTCATTTTTTCCACAGGAGAAAACAGAGGAATAGAATAGATGGTGACAGTGAGGAGGAAAATTTTGGCGTGTCAGATGTTACATGGCAACCAACACATACACCGGCTGGTAGACGTACAGAAAGCGCCAGTAACCCACTTGAGTTTGTATTTTCTTCAGTTTGTGTGGTCAAGATGCTCCTTGGCTGCACAGACTTTGAGTTCCAGAAGTTGCAGCCATGGCCTCATATTCCCTTGGACACATGACTTCCAACAAGACTTATGGTCCAGGATTTGTATTAAACAGAATTCAACACTGAAACCTTTATTTCTACCACAGCTGGTGGATAGAATTCAAGCACGGAATTTTCCCGCAATTTGTAGTTGTGTTGTGCCACCAGTCATGTGCCCATGATCTAAATATTTGGTCTATGTACCAGCTGAAAAGCGAAAAGAGAAACATTTTCGAGGATAGCTTAACACATATATACTGAAGCAGGTTTACATGATCAAATAAACAAGGAAATACTACCAAAAAGATACCATCAAAGAAAAACTCTACCGCAATGTTAAATCAACTCCATTCAGTGCATGAGTTCTTGACGGAGAACTGAGAAATATATGAGCAGGCGTACGCCGTGCGTATTGCTCTTCTAGGAATAAGTCCTGTGTCATTTTTCCATAGGAACAAGGACATGAAATATAGGAAGAGATGGCGACACTGAAGAGGGAAAACAAGCGCCCAACGGCAGCTGCCAAAGGGATGTGCTATTGTCCCAACAAGGAGCTTGGAACTTCCAGTAGGGTCAGATGGTGACACTGAAGAATAATCATCCAGTAGCAGCTTACATTCAACTTGTGTGAGAGGACCTCATAGCACTATTTAAATATCAGTAGAGTTGGAGTGTATAGTGAATCAC